ATTCAGTAAAGTTTGTATTGCGAAGTTGTTCTCTATGTACAGACACATGTGGAGTGGCACACAAACATAAACAAATATTATTCGTCCAGTCCTCAGTACTTCAGCTGATAGGAAATATCTAAAACTTTTTTTTTTTTATCTCCGAGACATGAACATTTTTTTATGCTTTTTTTTTGTTTTGTTTTGTTTATCATCATAGCTTCTGCTGTAATTGAAAAGAATATTTACATACAGGAGTAAGCGAGGTTTTACATGTTATAAAAAAAATCACCAATGAATTTAAAACACAAAAAAAAACAAGAATATACAGGTCAGGACTTCCCTAAATTGAGGCAGTTGGAATAGATATAAAAATGCATATCGGGGGACGGTGGGGGGGGGGGGGGGGTAGAAAGAAGGGGTTATTGTTTAGAAGGCGGGAGAGGGGGGGGAGGTATGTGATTACTATATAAATATCAAGAATAATTTCTTCACGAGATCTTTATCAGTTATATTTTTGGACACTCAAAAAATAGATGAGAGACAGACATGATACAGATGATAAATTCCTTTCATTTATTTATTTACTGGGGATGGAGAGGGAGGAAAAGGAAAAAGGGGGGGGGGGGTAGTTGTTCAGAGGTAGTTTTTTTTTTTTTTTTTTTTTTTATGTCGCCAAAATCAGAGATCTTCAAAAACCACTTTCTAAAGATAGTTGTTCTTGAAAATCTTTCTCGATTTTAGCCTCGCCCAGTCCAGGGAAGTCGCCTGCCTCCGTTTCTTCTAGGAAATCACAATCTGGTCTACATTGACAAACTATTGCCTTCTATATATTAAAAAAAAAAAAAAAAAAAAATAGGACAAAATAAATGACAAAAAAAAAAAAAAAAAAAAAAAAAAAAAAAAAAACATTGAAATTATATCTAGAGAAAAAAAAAGGGGGAAAACAAAAATCTATATAACTTTACTAGTAAATTCAAAGAAAAGCTGCCGTGGCATTTTGAATGTGTAAAATGTACATTAATAATTATGATTCGAAATAAGTTACGATGCATCCGTTGTTATTGCAAGACTCATGTTGCAGTTTTACAAAGTGCCAAACAATGCAATTAATTACATCATTACTCTTACATCAATGACGAAGAGAGGAGAGGAGAGGGAGGAAGAGAATTGGGGTAGAGTGAGGGGGAGGAGGAGGAGGAAGGGGGGGTGGGGTAAGAGGTTCGGTAAGCGGCCTTATGCACACTGAAGGTAAGACCCTACTTACCCCTGGATACATATGTTCAATAACAACTAATGCAAAGGATGTCATAAAAAATACATTGTTAAGAAAGCCAGAAAGCGCTATGCAATAATTACAAGCTTCTATTTGGTTCAGATACTGCCTGGTATGGAGTTACGTATATTTTTTTCCTCACATTTGTATACATGATTACAAAATATAGAACACCTATGAATATTAAAACTATCATCATGATACAACACAATTGCTCCACTAAATTCAAGAAATCGGCTGTTTCACAATATAATCATCAGGTTCAACTGTCGTAATATGGATACAGTCCGTATGTACTTTAAGTTTACTATCTTATATTGGATACATGTAGGAATACATCTTAATCATGAGAATGAATAAATTAAATAGAACATTTCTTGAGAGAAATGAAACTTAAGGAGGAAATGAAAAGAGTTGAAAGTCTTCGATATTTTCACCAAGTACAAGGTTTGTTTGATATACTTAAGAACTAATGAGTTGACCAAGCAACATTGGGTATACCATAGATTCTGTAACAATAAACATTTTGTCCAGTATGTTTATGAAGATACCCGACTGTTGTTTAATACTCTAGGCTTTGATTAAACCTAAATTTCTGTCATACGTCTATAACACTACACATGTCAATACACTGCTACAGGCGTTCGTTGGTTGGGTAAGGTAAGTATAGTATACATGGCTCGTATACACGGAGTTGAGAAAAGAACACTGAGTTGTTCGATATTACTAATTAGGGGAATAACCCGAAAAAATATCTTCAAGATAAGGAAGAAAACAAACATAAGACTAAAAAATAAAGACGACGAGAGAGACATCGTGAAATAGAAACTACATTAAAATGATAATTAAATTGAATTAAAATAACGTAATCATCACATATCACCGAAACAGAAGGTGAATTACATATACGTATACATGAAAAAAAAAATACTGAAATGATAATCAGGAGGCAAAACAGTAAGAGAAAAAAAAAGAGAGAAAGAGAGAGAGAGAGAGACAAAGAAAATACTAGTCACAAGCTTTATGTTTATAAAATAATGTTCCCACGGGTATACTTTTTTTCCGTTACAATCCACCGTGCTGGCTGTCATTCATCTGATTGCATTAAGGGTCTTAATTTCCCAGTTCACTTCGGGAAAAAATAATAATAAAAATAAAAAACAATAATCATAATAATTATGATGATAATGCTCGCTCTCAAACTGTAAATACACTAACATTTAGACCTTACTTACAACATCTCCACAAAAAATACTATACGAGGGATGTAAGAATCACTCGCTAAATGCTACTTTACCAAGATGAATACATATGGAGACAGAAGTGAGAAATAGTTTGTTCGTGTGTTTGTTTGTTTGCTTGTTTGTTTGTTTTTACAATATTAAGATTAACATTAGCGTTCCATTACTTACATACGAGAGTTGACAAAGACACACTTTCGGTCCGTATACAATATGTTTAATGGTCTGAGGTCGTTTTGTAAATGATATGGGTATTTAATGACATTATCAAAATCTGGAACTTTGTTGATTGGCTCTGATAATATGAAAGTAAAGAGAGGATTGGGATATCAAAGAAATACTTATTGAATGAAGACCTTGATAAGCGTAATGAATAGATGGTCTAAATGAGTGACTGATTATAATATCTTCCTCGTGATATATTTACGAATAGATAATGGAAGAAGAGAAACGAAATTTCCTGATAGACATATAAAAGGAACGATCTGAAATTGTTTTGCTTATTTTTATCACCATTTTGTCTTTGAATATTAAATCGATGAAAATAAATATTCTTAAAAGGAGAAATGTATGATAATAACCAATCCGAAAAAAAGACAGAACGAATGAGAGAGATGAAGAAAGAAACAAAAGAAAAAAAAAACAGTACAGGACTCAAAACGCCCAGGCCATTAAGGTCAGTCTTGCAACACATGTGCAAGCATGATAATACCGCTCATGCAACGAATCCCTGAATACACTTCTGTCATACTCTCCGTTTCTCTTATTTTTTTTAATCTTCTTTCTAATTTCTTCTTCTTGAAAATCTTCTTCAAGTTCAACACATTCACTACAGTAAAACATCAAGGTTAGTCATTCTACCAATTGATATACAAACAAAAGTCTATATACTGTTTTTTTTTATTATTTTAAGGTTCAAAAAACTACAGTGTGTGTTTGTGTGTCAGTATATATAGGCAAGAAACTATCCAGAGTTACTTCCCTGCGTTTGTCTAAAAAGTAATTTTTTTTTCCCACAAAATTAACTCCTGTATTTATGAAATCAGGAGGGATGCTTCACTTAGCAAAAATATATATATGCAAAAAGAGTCTTTTATTTTCTTATTATTATCTCTTATGGTTTGTGTAGAATTGTTTTTTTTATATATATTTTCTTTTGTTATCTTCATCCTTAACTATCTGTAGTTGTTTGTATAAGCCAATGGTAGTCGGACTAGGCCTGCGATTTCTCTTCACTGCAGACCTCACTAATTTACGAAAAATTCTCCAAAAAGGATCTGGTGTTTCTGGGGACATTTTCCTTGGAGATTTTGGCAGAACAACCCAGGAGAATTATTAACAGATTCTCTTCCTTTTCTCTTAATAACGTTACGTAGATAGGGATAGATGGGAAAAGGAGGAAAGGAATATTATGGTACAAAACGAGGGAAGGAGAGAGAGAGAGAGAGAGAGAGAGAGAGAGAGAGAGAGAGAGAGAGAGAGAGAGAGAGAGAGAGAGAGAGAGAGAGAGAGAGAGAATATGACAGTGAAAATTATCATGATAATAATGATGGTAATTATCAATAATAATAATAATGATAATAAAAAAAACAATAATAATAATAATAATAATTAAAACACGTATCTGGACTTCCCTAAAATAATCCTAAGTTACTCTGCCTCAATAGTATACTTAATTAAAAGAGATAGACAGATAGAGAGAGAAAGGGGAGGGGGGAAAACTCGTCTATTGCACGGACCTAACACCCGTTTGAAAATACTCTGTGCATTTAAAGAATATAAACATAACCTCCTCGTGTTCTTAAGTGGGGAAACTGCCCTATACACCTCATGCACAGTAAAGCCTAAACATATTTTTATTTTGGGTTCTTTTTTGTGTCTTCTTCTTATAAAAAGACCAAAAAAAAAAGAATATTACAACCTTAATTATTTACATACTTTTTTTTTTACTTTTTTTTTTTTAATATTAAGTCTTAATACGTTAACTCTGTGAGATACAGTTGCCAATCCTTCTTTTTTATTATTATCTATTTCTTTTTGGTTCTTTCCTTGAGGATTCGAAAGGGATGCTGAAGAGACGGACAACCTCCATTAGCAGCGAAGAGATCTATTCTCCCTTTTTTTTTTAAGTAACGAAAAAATAAATTGATCTTTTTTTTTCATTTTCTTATTTCATTATATTCCCTCTGTTTTCGTATGTCCTTCTGATTCCGATCTCGGGAGATTTCTTTAGCATCATTTGGGAGAAAGAAAATTGATGTGAATGAAGAAGTGAGAAAATAGATAAATGTGTATTCAAGAAAGATTTAAGTTTCTTTTAATATATTCTGCAGATATAAGTGATGAAGCCAATCATATGAACGAACAAAGAAATAGATAAGAAAAAGAATAATAACAATAATAATGATTATAATAACGACGATGATAAGAATAATACTAACAATAATAATGCTAATGAAAATAATAATAATAATAAAAAAATAATAATAATAATAATAAAAGAAAGAAAGGAAACAAAAAATTAATTACTTTACTCAGTCGAAACGTCAATCAAAAATCCACTTTCTGCTCCCAAATGACACGTCAGAAATCTCGACTCTCTCTCTTTACTCAAGAACCGCAAAGACGTCATAACCACAGACCCGGCCAAGGTTTCAAAACTACGCTCTAACTACATAAATTATGAAGACTCAGCTCTGGAAGGTACAGGTTTCGAGTATACGTAAGTATATATATATTATATTATTCTTCTAAAAATTAAGAAAGTGAATTTCGAAAGAAAAATGGATGGATGCTGAATAGTTGTTTTGGTGTGGGGGGGTGATGGAGGGTGGGAGGGAGGGTGGGTGGGAGGAGGAGGTGGAGGAGCAGGAGGAGAAGAAAAAGAAGAAAATGAAGAAGAAGAAAAAAGAGAAAAAGAAAAGTAAGAAGAAGAAGGAGGAGGAGGAGGAGGAGGAAAAGAGGGGGAGGAAGTAGGGAGAAAAAGAAGTGGCAATGGTGAGAAAGGAGGAGGGGGGAGGGGTAGAAACTGGTAATAATGAAAGAGGAGGAAGAAGAGGAATAGGTAGAGGAAGACGAGGTGTTTTCTGAGGTAAAAGATGAGGAAGAAGAGCAGGAAGAAGAAAAAGATGAGGAAGAAGAAAAAGATGAGGAAGAAGAAAAAGATGAGAAAGAAGAGCAGGAAGAAGATGGAGGGATAGGAAGCGGGGAGAGGACGAGGGAAGAGGAAGAAAAAGGCGGAGAAAGAAAAGAGAATAAGACGAATAAGAAGAGAAGGAAGGTGAGGATGCGGAATGGGGGGGGAGAAGGAAGAGGAGATGGCAGATGAACATGGCGGATGAGCATGACGTTTTATAAATATGGATACATTTCAAAGGGTGACTTAAAAAGGACTACTCATCACGTCCACAACGAATGAGAGAGAGAATGAAATGATCAAGAATAATGAAATCGAAAAATCATGAGATGAAGATCCACTTTTTCTTTTTCTTTTTTTTTTTCTTATCCTTTTTTTCTTCCACAACCTTCGTTTTTATTGTTATCATCATTTTGATTGCTTTGGTCCCGTTCCATTCCCGTGAATACAAGCACAGGGACCCCACCAAGACCGAGCCAAGGTCTTTCTCCTACAAAACCTTCCATAGATGAGCCTTTTTTAAACTATTTTTTATTTTATTTTATTTTATGGTGTGTTTTTTTTTTGGTTATTTTTTTTTTTTTTTTTTAGTTTGCTTATTATCATCGTCTTCTTGTTCCATTACCCGTCTTTCAACATGCAACACACGTTCAGCAGAATAGCATTATATGGGCAACATTTCCTTCTGTTTGTGGTGGCGGATCAACGCATGTACCCCCAGATGAAATCAATATATTCCCGAAAAAAAAGAGAGATAGAGAAAATATATGACTTCAAAGAGCAAGTAAATAAATAGAAAATGGAAAACAAACCTTAAAAAAAAAATCTAAGAAAAATAAATTATATATATATATATAAAAGAGAGAGAGAAAATTTACGAAGTATTTATTGAGCATAAGATGTGGATACTTTGTGATATGGACTGGTTTCAGGTTGTTATCTATTCATACTTATTTCTCGCGTGTTTTTTTTTTTTTTCATTTTCTTTCTTATGTTTTTGCCCATACAACTATTCCTTCCGGAGAGCGACCATCTGGTAAGGGGAGGGGGTGGTATGAGGGACCATCTCTGTAAGCGGACCATCTGCGAACATGGAACCATCTTTGAACGAGGAAGGGGGAAAGACTCCAAAGGATACACTGACTGAACGCTTATGTCCCGCAAGGGCGTGGTTGGACATCGAGGGGAACGGTCAGTGGGTGCACCTCGAAGCCCTCTTCCTCTTAGGTAGAATAATCATTTGAAGGACCAGTTGCATCAAGGAGAACTTGATCGTTGATAAAAAAGGAGAAAAAAAAAAATAATGATGGCTCAACTATATACGAAAGGGAGCCCTCTCTCCTTGGGGGAAACCATCTCTATTGTCGAACCATCTTTTGGACAGAACCATCTACATAGCTGGTCCTCTGTGTACAGAGATCACTTCGGAAGAGATACCATTACTGCTGATCACTTCTGATTATCCTTTGTAACCTGTGTGGTATACTAGTAGTACTCAATAACACCTAGTTTAGTTTCGCCTCCCGCTACAATCTAGCATATATTATATATACTGGGTTTTTCCTAGTGGGAAACATCAATTTTGTATCGAAACTCTTATTTTATACAATACCAGAGTAGGAGAAGCAACTGGAAACATTAGATCAGGTTTAAACAGCTAGACTCTCCTGTGTGGTTTTAGTTTTGGTTGGCGAGGGGGGGACTGGCGCCTGACATGGTTGTTGGGGACTCGGGGGGTTGGGGGTCAAGGTAGCTTGTCAAGTGATGGATGACATGACAGATGACAGAAAACGGCTACTCATCTGGTTCTTGGAATGATTGTAGTCTTCGCTGTTGACGTAATGTCGTTAGGTGGCAACGTAGCTTTGGGAACTTTTTTTTTTTTTACGTTTTTCTTTTTTCTTTACGTTACTGCTAATGCATAAAGCTTACACCAATAGGAGACTGCCACGTCACTGCTTCACCCGGCTCCCGAAGCCCCTATGTGGTACTGGCACTGGTAGGCTGTTTCCCGGCTTGAACACCAATAATACACAGAATACACTTTACACTATGGCGCCTTCGCTGACGTCATCCTGGCTTATACATGTAGTCACTGGTATATTCAAAACACTTGCCAATATTTTTTTTTCTTTTTTGGAGATGCACTGTACATACGGAGCACATACACGTAGACTATGTAAAATAGCACTTAATTATCCAGTATAAAATGGGTCACACACTCTGCACTGGCACTTTTGCACACCCTAGGTCAATATTTGGCAACCGACCCGCAGCTCGGAGGTCACTGGGTGGGGGAGGTGGGGGTAGGGGTTTCTGAGAGAGAGTTGCCGTTTTCCACTCCTTTGGTTTTGTTCTCCTTCTTCCACTTCATGCGGCGGTTCTGGAACCAGATTTTGATCTGTCGTTCGGTGAGGCAGAGGGCGTGGGCGATCTCTATCCTCCGTCGGCGCGTCAGGTAGCGGTTGAAGTGGAACTCCTTCTCCAGCTCGAGGGTCTGGTACCGCGTGTAGGTCTGTCGTCCACGCTTCCTCTCTGCAACAAGGGGGGGAATTGGACTGTTAAATTCTTGTACTCCGCAAAGCAACAGATCAGAGTAGATTTTTATATTCTTGAGCTTCGTAAATCAGCAAAGGTCAAATATGACTATTTTTAATACTATAATACTGTAAACACATTACATAAGCCTGTTATATGCTTCGAAATTGTAATTAAATGAAGTACTTCAAACAAAATTGTTGAATTGTTAAAACGTGGTATTTCACGGGAAACTAAGTTGTTCCCCCATTTATTTAGGTAAAATAATGACAACTATTTATAACTATTTTAACAGTATGGAATTAAAGCTCAAGACACTTAAAAGAGAACAGGTGTCCATGAATGCTCGTCACTTGTGGTCCTTGTGCACAGAATCACACACACAATAAAAAACAGATATACACGCTTCTTTATTCAGTCTTCATCTCCCGTGTTAGTTCTGCAGTACAAATACAAGACAACCAAGCAAAAAAAAGTAAGAAAGAGAGAGAGAGAGAGAGCAAGAGAGAGAGAGAGAGAGAGAGCAAGCAGGAGAGGCAGACAGACAGACAGACAGATAAAGAGCAAGAGAGATAGAATCAAGGAAAAAAGTTGATGTACATGTACATACAACCCATGTTTATCTACTTAAAGATGACACACGCCTCGTATTTACGAACATAAATACGAGAGCGTAAAGTGAGTAGCAATAGACAAGGAAAAAAAAACATGGATACACATCACCCCTCCCCCTTTCCCCCCCTCCTCTTTAAATTCCCAAAGGGTTTATGAGCCCTTTAACCCTCTCGAGTAACAGCTACCACTTGACATGTCCGTCTGTCAAGGAAATGTCACTTGAGCGACACTATTCCGGGAAGAGAGCGAGTGAACAGAGAGAGGCGGCGAATGCACTTAAAGATGACATTCCCTTTTTAATGCTGCGAAGTACGTTTTTTTTATCTATTTACAGTCACGCTCGCACACAGAGATCTAGATAGATATTTCGATTGATAGATGGATAGACGTAAATACAGGAAGACGGATAGGTGGAGAGACACAGATAGGAATTTTATTTGTGCATATATATTATATATATGTGTGTGTGGGGGGGGTATATATTTAGGCGTATGTATATATATATATATATATATATATATATATATATATATATATATATATATATATATATATATATGAATAATACACATATAAAACCTCACACGCCCATACATAAACCCACACACAGCAATTCATTGAATGGATACATCAGAAACGCAAATCATGTTAAAAAGTTGACTCATAAAAGCAGTAGATGGAGATCAAACGCGTGTGATGCAATTCACGTTATGACGTAGTGGCGTCTGACAAATGCAAAGATAGAGGCAATGTTAATCACAGTAGACGTCGCTCGCTCACGTTCACACTTTCATAATTGGCTTCTCTCTCTCTCTCTCTCTCTCTCTCTCTCTCTCTCTCTCTCTCTCTCTCTCTCTCTCTCTCTCTCTCTCTCTCTCTCTCTCTCCCTCCCTCCCACGAAGTTAATGTACTTTCCTTTGCAACATCATTGCCTTCCGTCTTGAAGAGAGAACCAAATGCTAAGATACTAACAACTCATTAAAGTGTTTGCGTCTGTGTGAGTTAAAAATCTCCTGGAAGATGTGATGGTGATTTTTACTTTGTGTTTTAACGACCAATGTACGAAGAAAGGAGAGACGGAAGGGAAGAAGAAAGGAGAGATGGAAGGGAAGAAGGGAGGAGAGGTGGAAGGGAAGAAGGGAGGAGAGACGGAAGGGAAGAAGGGAGGAGAGACGGAAGGGAAGAAGGGAGGAGAGGTGGAAAGGAAGAAGGGAGGAGAGATAAGGAGGGAAGAAGGGAGGAGAGGTGGAAGGGAAGAAGGGAGGAGAGATGGAATGGAAGAAGGGAGGAGAGGTGGAAGGGAAGAAGGGAGGAGATATAGAAGGGAAGAAGGTAGGAGAGATGGAAGAAAAGAAGGAAGGAGAGATGGAAGAGAAGAAGAAAGGATGGAAGGAAATAAAACGAGGGAAGGATAGGGCAGACAGAACGATGGGTGGAAGGACGAAAGGGAAGGAGGAAGAAGATAGAGAAAAACTAAAGAAAAAGGGAAAACAAGATGAACGAAAGAAAGGAAGAAGATAAAGGAAGAATGGAAGAGAGAGAGCAGGATATGAGGAGGGAAATAGAAGGAAAAAAAGAAAAATATACGAAAAAAGTGAAAACTAAGAGGGAAAAAAGAAAAATATATGAAAAGGAAGATAAAGAAAGAGAAACGAAAGAAGGGAAGAAGACAAAAGAATGGTAGAAGGAATAAAGCAGACCACGAAGGCGGGAAACAGAAGGAAAAAAAGATAAACGAAAGAAGTAAGAAAAAAGATAAACAAAAGGAGGGAGGAAGACAAAAACAGACTATGAAGTAGACGAATTTGAAATAAAAGAAAAGAAAGAAACTCGAAAGAATGAACAAAAAGAAAAAAAAAAAAAAGAAAGACAAAAGAAGAAAACGAAGGAAAACAAAACAAAACAAAAAAAAACAAAAGAATAAAAGAATAGAAAGATATACAAACAAAAAAAAGGAAAAAGAAAGAAAATGAACAAAAAAGAAAAAAAAAGAAGAAACAACGAATTACAAAAAAAAAAAAAAAAAAAAAAAAAAAAAAATGGAAACCAGAACCAAAAATTCCAAAAGACGTTTCCATCATCTTAAAGAAATCACGTTAAAAAACCTCAACCAGGTGCCAACCCTACCAGACCCCCACCACCACAGGAGGGGTTGTGGTCGACGGAACCCCAAAGGACCTCATAAGGAAAGCAGAAGGGGATAAGAAAAGGATATTTATTATTGTCTACGTTTCGACAGGGGTTTCCTATGTTGGGGGGGGAGGGGATAGGGTAGAGTGGGAAGGGGAGGGGAGGTGTAGGGTGGTGGGGGGAAGGAGGGGTGAGGGGGTGGAAGGGTAGGGTAGGGTAGGGTGGGGAAGGGAAGGTTAGGATAGGGAATAGAATGGTATGTTGGGGAAGGGAAGGGTAGGGTATGTTGGGGAGGGGAGGGGAAGGGTATGCTGGGGTAGGGAATATGCTGAGGAGGGGGGAGGTAGGTTTGGGAGGGGAAGATTAGGGCAAGGAGGAGAATGGTTTTAGTGGGGAGGAGTGTGGTATGTTGGGGAAGAGAATGCTATGTTGAGGAGGGGAATGGTATGCTCAGTAATAGACTGGTATGTCAAGTAGCAGAATAGTATATTAAGCTGAACGACGAAGAGGTAATTTCTTATGTTTTTAAGTTCAGTAAGGATTGTATATGCATTAAAATGTATGAAACATGTATGATGTAAATAGGGGGTAAAGGAGGGAAGAGGGGAGGGGGGGGGGATTGGTGGGTTAGTCTCACGACAGGGAAGAGTAAGGGGTAGGGGGAGGGGTGGAGTGGGGGGTAGGAGGGGATTCGGATAGGCCTACCATGTTTATATGATGAAGACTAGATCCCGATAACGAACATTCCTCAGATGTGTTGTCTCCCCCCCCCCCCTCTTACCCCCCTCGCATACCTCTATCATGTAGTCTAGACAGGAATGGATCCTTCATATATCCCCTCCCCCCCTCCCCTCTCTATTTCTCTTTCTCTGTCTCTGGTTTCTCCTGTTTCTTGGTCTTCTTTGTCTCTCTACCTCTCTGTATATGGTCCGGCTCTATGTCTCTCTCTCTCTCTCTCTCCCAATCTCTCTCTCTCATATATATATATATATATATATATATATATATATATATATATATATATATATATATATATATATATATATATATATACATATATATATATATATATATATATATATATATATATATATATATATTTCTCTCTCTCTTTATCTCTCTCTCTCTCTCTCTTTATCTCTCTCTCTCTCTCTCTCTCTCTCTCTCTCTCTCTCTCTCTCTCTCTCTCTCTCTCTCTCTCTCTCTCGCTCTCTCTCTCTTTTTCTCTCTTTATGAGATAGTCATAATAACATTCTTTTTTTACTTCATAGCAAATCATCAATTCTGACATTTTGTTCCTCCCGATATACTACATGAAAGCCATATTAATCATGCATCTCCATACCCCAAATATATCTATATCATTTCCCAAATCTGCATCAGTAAGATATACAAACAATGACCGAATATTATGACAGATCTATTTCACACACTGAGCATAACGTCAGTCGGAGGTGGGTTCCTGATTTGTATTTTTTGGGATGTCCTCGTGCAGGTGATGCCTAATTTGTTTCTATAATTACATACATATATGGATAAACATTTACACGTGTATGTTTTATATTCATAGGTTCAGATGTGTGTGTGTGTGTGTGTGTGTGTGTGTGTGTGTGTGTGTAGATATAAATACATACATATATACATCCATATGTATATATGTATGTATATATGAACACATAAATACATATATATATATATATATATATATATATATATATATATATATATATATATATATATATATATATATGTATATATATATATATATATATATATATATATATATATATATATATATATACATATGTGTGTGTGTGTGTGTGTGTGTGTGTGTGTGTGTGTGTGTGTGTGTGTGTGTGTGTGTGTGTGTGTGTGTGTGTGTGTGTATGTGTGTGTGTGTGTGTGTGTGTGTGTGTGTGTGTGCGTACACACACATACACATATATGTATGTATATATATATATATATATATATATATATATATATATGTATATATATATATATATATATATATATATATATATATATATATATACATATATATATGTATATATATATATATATATATATATATATATATATATATATACATATATATATATATATATATATATATATATATACATATATATATGTATGTATATATATATATATATATATATATATATATATATATATATATATATATATATATATATATATATATATATACATACATATATATATGTATATATATATATATATATATATAT